CGCGTGCTGTCCCCCGAAGGCCGCGGCTGCCCGGGCCCTCCCCAGAGCTTTTTGTGTTTAAACCTGCCCCATTTATTACTTCCAACCTGCCTAGCGCCGACGCCAACTGTTGCAGGCTCCGTGCAACTGCTTCCCTGAACTTGGCGGTCGAAACCGCCTCCCAGGAGCCTGTTTAAGCAGCAGAAATAAGACGCCCGTGGAGGCGCTAACCCCTGGGGTTTTCAAAAGTGAAACGGATAATGTCTAAGTCACTGAAGACTAGTCAATATTCGTAAACCAAGAAAAATTTGAAACCAAGCGTTTTAAACAAAAACGTAACAAAACTAGTTTTCCACTAGCAAGGCTGACCGTAGGTGAAACCGAAGAGGTTTCAGGAAATTGTGTGAAGTGAAAATAGATTTCGAAAGACTTTAGTCTACGGCCATACCACCCTGAACGCGCCCGATCTCGTCTCACAAGACAACTTCACCGTTCTTAAAACATACTGTTAGTAAATGCCCTCAAAGAGAAATATTTTCAATGAAAAAAGGATTTCCAAGAACTTCCTTGAATAATTAAATTGCCCTGAGCAGGGCACTACTTGTGGCATTTAAATATGCTACTCTTAATTACTTATTTGGAGGAGAGATAAAAGATAGGAGAACTAAAGGGAAAAGGAGAAAAGATCAGGGAAAAAATACAAAAAAAAAAAAAAAAAAAAAAGATTCCTATACACGATAAACTGGATCCCAATACAATAGCACTGGTACCCCAAGATTCTGGCCTCTCCCCGCCTCTTTGGGATCTAGTTCTTTGGGATTAAGGACAGTGTACTCCTGTTTTGTTTTGTTTTTTTTTTTTTTTTGGTTTTTCTCCGGTACCGGGAATCGAACTCACGACCTTGCGCTTGCCAGGCAGGCGCTTTTGCCGCTGAGCTAAATCCCCAGCCCTGTTTTGTTTTGTTTTGTTTTGTTTTGTTTGTCTTTTTGAGACAGTGTCTCGCTGTGTAGTTCAGGCTGCCCTTGAGCTCACTTTGTCGCCCAGGGTGGTCTCGAATTTATAAGGATCCTCTAGCCTCAACCTCCGGAGTGCTGGGATTACAGGCGTGCACCACCACGCCCGGCTATTCCTGCTTTTAGATACTTAAATTTGTAGGTTTAGTTTTATTTACTGTATTAAGGGAAGTCGTTAAATGACACCAAGGATCCTACTGATGTATTTCTTAACATCTTTAGAAGATAATGGTCATGTTTCTTTGAACTTGCGGAATGGCGCCCTCATACTTAAGAGATAGATAGGGTGAGTTTCTTGGGTAGGAGTGCTTTGAAATTCATGGATAGGAGGCACCTCTGCCCCCTCCCCCGCAAAACCAATACTCTACACAATTCTCAAAAGTTAAGTTTTTCATTGGTTTAAGAATGACCATTGTCAAATGAACAAGCTATTAAATCAGGAAGTTTCTGTGTCCTTAATACTGTCCTGGGTGTTGAGAGAGGAAGCGGAATATGAGATAAAAGATTACAAATGATCTTTTGCTTGTGATGGCAAAGCGTCTTGTATCATTAACTTGAAACTCCCTGTCTTCACCGCTAGGTGGTGGGTTTGAGTCTTCTCTATCCTTTAAGCAAGTTTCTTTGGAAGAAATACGTTTCATAAAGCTTTGTATAAATAAACCTGGTATAATTTCTTTTGTCTTTTTGAGACAAGGTTTCACTATGCAGTTCAGGCTGACCTTGAACTCATTTTGTAACCCAGGCTGACCTCAGACTCGCAGGATTTTTCCTGCCTCAGGCTCCCGAGTATTGGGATCACAGGTGTGTGCCACCTCCCCTGGCCAAACCAAGCATAATTTTGAGATGAATTAGTAGCAAATGCACTTTATAAGCCACATCACATCATTTGTTTTAAAGCAAAGCAAGGGTAATATTCCTCGATATAATGTATTTTAAAGGATCTCAGACATAGATTCAGAGAATAATGGAGATGAATTCTAAATTCTGGAGAGATTTCAGAGATGAGTTCTAAATTCCAGTTTGGATTTTCTCATTTGAGGTATGGAATTGGAAGCCAAGACAAATAGTGACTTGACCAAAGTTACATAACTGCTAGATAGGCAAAAGCTAGGTGACAACTTCCCAATTCCCAACTTTATGCTATTTCTGCTATTCCACTTTGAATCTCAATTTCTGCTTCATTTATTTTAAGTTGGGGACCAACGTATAGTTGACTCCTCACAAAAGCCTATTCTGGTGTATACATTTTTTTCTTTTACTTTTTAAGACAGGGTCTCACTATGTAGTTCAGGTTGGCCTTGAACTCACTATGTAGCCCAGGCTGACCTTGAACTCGTGTGATCCTCCTCTGCCTCAGCCTTCCAAGTGCTGGGATTATGGTGTGCCACTATGCCCGGCTCTCAGTGGCTTTTAGTATGTTCAGAATTGTGCAGCCATTATCACAATCAGTTTTAGAACATTTTTATCAACCCAGAAGGAAGCTCCTTTTCCTTATTAGTTTCTCATCCTTCCCCAGCAACAACTAATCTACTAATCTAATTTTTGTCTGTATACCAGTATTTCACATAAACTGAATTATACAATATGTGGTCTTTTGTCACTGATTAATTTCACTTAGCATAGTATTGTCAGGATTCCTCCATGTTATAGCATGTGTCTGTATTTGCTTTTTATTGCCAAATAATATTTTATTGCTTGGGTATACATTTTGTTCATCCATTTGAGCTGATCACTATTTTATTGTTTTCACTTTTTGGCTGCTATGAATAATGGTTTATGAACATATGTGTGCAAAGTTTTGTGTAGACATATGTTTCTGAGTTCTTTGTTTTCTTTGGTTTGGATTTTAGTTTTTTGAGACAGGATCTCACTGTATAGTTCAGGGTGGTCTTGAACTCATTCTGTAGCCCAAGTTTGCCTCTAACTCTCAGCAGTCCTCCTATCTCAGCCTCCTGAATGCTGAGACTCCAGGTGTGTGCACCAATGCCAGTTCTAGACGTATGTTTTTGTGTTTCTTTTTTTAATTAATATGAATATTTCATATTTATTTTGTAATAATTTCAAATAGTTGAAAAATTTCAAGAACTCATCCCCTTTACTAAGATTCTCCAAGTCTTAGTATTTTACCTTATCTGCTTTTATTTAGTCTCTCTCTGTATCCACATGGTTTTGGGTTTTTTTTATTGTCATTTTTCTTGTTGTTTTATAGTTGTTGTTTGGTAGCTGCTATGTAGTTCAGGCTGGCTTTAAACACAGTGTGTAGCCCAGGCTGGCCTCAAACTCTCAGCAGTTCTCCTGCTTCAGCCTCCTGAGTACTGGGGTCACAGGTGTATGCTGCCACACACAGCTGGTTTTGTTCTTATCCAGAGTTCTTTTCAACAATCTGATCGAAAACTGCAGACTCACTACCCCATCACCCTAAATATTCGGTGTGTATATCCCCAAAACAAAATGGTGTCCATTATAAACATTATGCAGCCTCCCATCAGGAAACCAACATTGATTCAACAAAAACTCTGTTATCAGTTCACCCACCAATGTTCTAACTAGTCCTAAATCCTGTCCAGGAACTTGCATTAAATTTATTAATGTCATGTATCTTCACATCTCCTTCGATCTGAAAAGGTCCTTAGTCTTTCCTTGCCTTCATGACCTCAGGAGTTTTAAAGAGTATAGGCCTTTCATTCTATATCTAATCCTCAATAGGATTCATCCAGTGTTTGCTTATGACTCAGCGTGGGCGTACAT